CTTTTCACTTTTCAGCTGGTTGTGTGACGGTAGTGCTTCCAGCTTCATCTTCCTAGCATTGTGCATGTGTGTGTGTGTGTGTGTGTGTGTGTGTGCACAAAAGAATAAAATCTTGATACTTGGTGATGTCAGAAATGGGATATATTTTCCAATCTGGATTTATAATTTTTGCTTTGCCTTTCAAAACTAGGTCAAGCACGGATATTCTATGGGGGATAAAAACATTCTGATAGTCTCGTTGAGTAACCAAGAAAACCATTGCCGCCGGGTCGATTCCAACTCATAGCGACGCTATATGAAAGAGTAGGACGGCACCGTAAGGTTTCCAAGAGCGGCTGGTGGATTCGGACTGCCAAACTCTCGGTTAGCAGCAGTAATTCTTAATCACTGCCCCACCAGGGCTCCAAGTAACCAAAAAAGGACACTAATTTGAAACGCGAGAAGAGTCTGCTCAGTGGCTGCTGTTTCTGCAGAGAGAGAAAATTCTTTATGTTGGTTCGCTCCTTCTTGAGGTTCAGTGCAAACAAAAAAGGAAGTTGGCAAGGGTTCAAAAGTGAGTTCCTTAAGCCCTAGGAGGTAAGTGGGGGAGCCTGCTCAAAATGCAGCAGTGTTTTCTAGCCACACGGACCTTCCATCCCCCACTCTCAACAGCCTCGTGTGGCTTCCAATCACACAGACTCAAAGCAAGTCTTCACACTGCCTTTGACAACAGGCACGTTGATAAGAAAGACAAAAACATTTGAAATTATTTGTTTTGTTTGTCCTGGCTTCTCTTCCTATTCGTTGTAAGACTTTGGACAAGGTTCTTAATTTTTCCCTGCCCTCAGTTTCCTCATCTGCTCAATGGAGATAAGAAAAGCATTTACCTCAAAAGGCACATATTGTGATTAAATACACTTAGCCATAAAGACCGTCTTCTGTTTATGTACTGTAGTCCCTGGGAGGAACAGTTACGCACTCAACTACTAGCCAAAAGGTTGATGCTTCGAACCCACCCAGAGGCACCTTGGAAGACAGGCCTGTTGATCTACTTCTAATAGGTTACAGCCAAAAAAACCCTATGGAACAGTTCTGCTCTGCACACATGGGGTCAACATGAGTGGGAATCCACTCAGTGTCAACTATAACAACAACATATATTGTAAGCCTTCTAAGTGTGAGCTATTATTAGCTGTAATGGATCAGGCTGGGCGTCAGAGAACCATATTATGATATCTGGCTCTGTCAGTCACTGTGGTGTGGGCTCAGCCAGTCACCCTCTCTGATCACTGTTTCATCAGTTCTAGTTCCCTCAGTTGAATAATGAAGGGGTTGGACTGATGGTCCTAAGGGTCAACAATGTTGAGGTATCCATACTATTAATTATCTCCTAGATAATTCCTCAAAGCCACCCCGTAGGACAGAGCAGAACTGCCCCATAGGGTTTCCAAAGAACAGCTGGTGGATTCGAACTGCTGACCTTTTTGGTCAGCAGCCAAACTCTTAACCACCGTGCCACCAGGGCTCCATTGTTCTGAGTCGGAATTGACTTGATGGCAATGGGTTTGGGTTTTTTTTTTTTGGTTTAGATTGTTCGTATTCTTGTTGGCTGGGCTTACGCTATATGCAGTATTACTTCCCTTTATGTTATCTCTACCTCTCTGTAGGTTTATAGAATATTAGAACTAAAAGGGATCTAAGAAATTTGACATGTCCAAACCTATCATTTTGTGGTCGAGGAAGATTACGAGTAGTTAAATGTCTTGTCCAAGGTCAGATAACTAGCTAGTAATAGTGCCAGGACTTGAATTGAGATTATAAACTTGTATTATTGTTTCGTTTTTTCTCTCTCTCCTGCGGACCCAAAAGGCATGTATGTGTTTAGAGTTACTTTCATGAATATTTTAATATTTCTGCATCCTTGTTATCTTTTCCCAGACCTTGACTGATATTTCTCTTTGAGTAATTGTCTTGACTCCAGTGCACTATGTCTAAAGCTTCAAATACTGGTCTAAGTCATTTTAAAATAAAACGACTTCTAGCCAAAAGGCAACATAAATATTGTAGTTCAGTCCTCAATGTTCTTCTTATCTCCTAAAACATAAAAGTACAAAGTAAATCAGCAGCCACTACACAAGACACCTCATTTTTTTAAAGTAGGCTCACTTTATAGGGGTGACTACAATTATATCACAGAATTGCCTTGCAGTTCCCCCGTGAATGCTAAGCATTTTTTTAAAATGAAGATTCACTTCCTTGCCTTTTGTTTCCTATACATTACCCTCACACACATACACGCAACCCTCCAATAAAACTACCTGTACTATTTAGGGAAATAATTGCTAACAGCATTTGCCTGACATCAAATACAATTTGTGAGTTCTCACTCTTCCGGGAACGAAAGTGTCAATGCCAGCAGTTTATAATCTATATGCGATTTAAGGTGCAAAGGGGTATAAATTGGCAAAGAAGTGAAGAGAAAAAGGATCTATTTACCAAGTTATATTTAAATGTGTTGACGTGAAATTTCTCTCATCAATTAAAAAAAAATACCCTTTTGCACCGGCCAAATCAGTGCAGAATCTTATCAACCACTAATTACTTTGAGCTGATTGACTGAGCGAACAGAAAGAGTTCCTGGTCGCCACATGGTGCCTAGACTCCCCTAACCAGTAAAACCAGTTAGCACAAACTTGCTACTTTTTTTTTTTAATTTACATTAAAGGGATGAATACGAAAAAAGCAGAAAGGGCAGGAGACGCTTGAGGGCCCCTGATGTTTCTTACTGATGGCCCTCCAGATCTGGCAGAAAACCAGGGTGAAGCAGACAAAGGCCCAGTTCCACTCGTGGTTCTTGCCAACAGTGGACACGCCCATGAAGATGAAGATCAGGGTCTCGCTGACGCTGCTCAGCATCTTCATGAAATACTTGATGGTCGTGTAGGATGTCTGGGACACATTTTCTTCCACATACTTTTTCATTGTCACTGCGCAGGCCGTGATTCTGCAAAAGAAACAGCGTCTCAGGGAGAAGCCAGTTTTTCCCACGCCATTGAAATCCCTCCCTAAGGGCAATGTCACAGAAACGCAAATTCTGTTTTAGTCCAGAAAGAACATCTCCTCCATTCCCTTCTCTGGCTGCCGATTTTCCAGAAATTATTGTTTCTTCCTCCTCCCCAAGAGGTTTCCACAAGATAAAGTAGAGTGTGGTGGGGAAGGGTGCATGGTATGACTTTTTCACAACAAAATGGCAGCCAATTCACATGGGCACCTCAGAAGCTGAATGGTTTCCATCATCCCTGTCCGCATCACGAGCTTTGGCAGTCTTGTCTTTTCTTTTCTACTTTACTTTGTCTTAAACAAAATAAATCCATTTCAGTTCTCGGGAAAGAATAATGCAGCGCAGCCCTCATTTCCTCCAACTGAATAATATTTCTTACAATGGTTTTTTGAGAAACTTTTTATTTAGAATGCTTCTGTTCTGCAGTCACTTAACAATTAGAGTAGAAAAGAAAGCATGGAGCTTGTCTTGGCAGTTTTGATCATTTTTAAGCTGGGAAGATGATGGAAGCCCAGAGTTTACACTATTAGATGTAATTAAAATAGGCATTTATATAAGATAGAATTAAATCTTTCTTCCCGAGTAGCTGGGTCTGAGGATACCTTTATAGAGAAAGAACATGGCCAGATATAATAAGCCAAGTTGAGAGGCCTCATTCCAACATTTATGCAAAGACAAACAATTAAAAATACTTTCATTAGGAAAAAGAAATCTACATTTCTAGTCTTATTCCATCTTCCTAGTTTCATTCCACACCGAATTCATGGTGCTGTGATGTGATTTGAGGGAAGTAGCTGAAGGCGGAGGCCAGGAATCACGGTCTTGCATGCTTCTCTTTAACTTTACAGTAATTAATTTTTCAAGGAAGAAAATAACTACCGAGGGGAAATTGTAACCTTAGATTTCTCCAAGCTCAGCATCAACTTTCCTGAGCATGCTGAACTGACCTGATAATTACTCTGCTCCCCTCAGGCAAATAATGAGACCAGATGCAAAAGTTCGAGAGAACATTTGTTTGGCAAAGAACCTGAATCAGATTTTTCAAAAATTTAAAAGCCCTGAATCCTGCGCCACTTTTGAGGCTTGGCTTCAGGAGCCATGCCTTTTCCAGACGCCTCGTTCACACGCTACAGTTCGGAACTTTCTTTCGTATCTAGGAGAGCTGATCCTTGGGTGGTACTCACGCCAGGATGCCGGAGAGGTAGAGTGTCTCCGCAACTAAGTAGGACAAATAACTGAACATGAAGACAATGAGTGGTTCAATCGCAGATATGTTCTGAGTGAAGCGTGTGATGAAAGCAGAAATGAATCCAAAAATGATGCCGAAAAATACTCCCCCGAGCCCCACAATAATGAATCGGGCACAACCAGCCAAAATATCCACAGGTTCTATGTGTTCAAATTTATGCATCTTTGTGAAAGCTATTAATATATTGTATAAGACCTGGGGGTGGGGGGAGGAAAGAAAGACAATAAACACAGATTAGAACTACTTTACATAATAACAAATTGCACAATAGATACTAACATTAATAATTAATATTAATTAATCAGTGTAGGGAGCCCTGGTGGTGCAGTGGTTAAGAGCTCCGGTGTTAACCAAAAGGTTGGCAGTTCGAATCCACCAGCCGCTCCTTGGAAATCCTGTGGGGCAGTTCTACTCTGTCCTATAGGGTCACTATGAGTTGGAATCCACTCGACCACAATGGGTTTGGTTTTGGCTTTGGTTAGTCAATGTAGATTTCTTTAGTTTCTCTGAATAAAAAGTATAATACAAACCTCTTTTAATCACTAAGCTTTTACTATGTGCCAGTTTCTTTGCTAAACTCTCTGTGTTAGTTATCAATTTATTGACTCTCATCTCCAAATGCAGCCTTTAATATACGCTCTGTAATGGAGCCCTGGTGGTGCAGTGGTTAAGAGCTCGGATGCTAACCAAAAGGTCGGCAGTTTGAATCTACCAGCTGCTCTGTGGAAACCCTATGGGGCAGTTCTACTCTGTCCTATAGGGAAGCTGTAATAAACAATGGAATTACTTCAAGCATTTCTTCTTTAAAATGAGCATCATGCTACCCTTTCTCAATAGAGGGCACTATAGTGAAGGGATATTGCAGGAGGAAGAGGCTTCCCGCAATTTCCTGTGACCCTGTGGGCAGGGGTAGCCATCAGAACTGTCTACACGCTTTTGCTATCCACTTATGTGTCGAGCTCGAAAACATTATCCAAAACCCAAGCATGGCTTTTGGCTTTGGAATGTGAGTTTGCAGAGAGGTTCAGACCTCAGAGTAGCTCAGCTGTCACCAGTCATCAAGTAGGCTGCTTCATTGCTAATGGACTTTGTTGATGGGGGAGAGGGGATGGAAGGAGGGCAAACAATGGCTTCTGGGCTCACGGGTTCTTGGTCCACATGCACCTTCATGGTGCAGCTTTGTGACACTGGCTCTATAGCCGAAAAGGCCATACGATGGAATTAACTTCTATGAAAGGCTAGCACGTTTTAGTTATGAGTCCGTCAGAGCACACATAACTTCCCTTTGAATTTTACAAGGTCCTAATCTGTGACTGGTCCCCCAAATAATTCCACTGTGTTTCTGCAGAGAGTTTAGAACACATAATTTGAGCATGTGGATTAGTTCCCGCTTTTTAATGTAATAAGCAAACGGTGGCTAATAAGCTTGGTTAGGTAAGGGAAGGTGGAGAAAAGGTTTTAAACAGACCTGCTTCCTTCTTTGAAAGAGAAGTTTCCAGTGTTTTCTATGGGAGGAGAAGGAACTGGGGAAGGTGAAAAAGAATCAGAAAACCTGGTACAAATTGGCCCAAGCAAGGTCTCTCTCTCTCAAACATACACACACATACACACACACATACGTATGCATGCACCCCTAAATCACTGAATATTTCTGAAATTAGCAAAGGATTTTTTTTTTAAGAAAGGGACTTGCCAAAATATGAAACCACATTTGCTTAAAAGTATACACATTAAAATGCAG